GGCCTGGAGCTCTGCCCCTGAGCCCCCGCCCCGCCCGAAGAGAAACACTCCGTCCCAAGGTCTCCGCCCCCAAGGTCAGCCATCAGGAAAGGGGGGGGAATTGAGTCTGCTGTACCAGACACCAGACCTTGAGAATATGCTGATCTGGAATGGCTCTGTGTCTCATTTGAACCATCCAATGGAAATGATTCTGTATTTCGCCTCATTTGAAAGACTCTGTGTTTCACCTCATTTGAATAACTCTGTACTTTGCCTCATTTGAATAACCCTGTATAGCGCCTCATATACATTGACCAATGGGAATAGCTCTGTATAATGCCTCATTAGAATTATCCAATAGAATCCTTGCTCCTAGCTTGCGCCTTTTTTCCTATATAAGGACCCCTTTTCCCTTGGCTCGGGGCGCTTAGCCACACAGAAGCTAAGTCGCCCCAGGTACCTGCGTCTCCAATAAAGCCTCTTGTTTTTACATCCAGTTCGTGGCCTCGCTGATTCCTGGGTGTGTGGGTCTCCCTCTACGAAAGTGCCTCTTCGGGGGTCTTTCAATTATTATATTTAACCGCAGGCTGGCCTTAAACTTACAGCAATCTTCCTATCTCAGTTTCCCAAATACTGTGATTATAGGCACGAGACGCCAAGCCAGGCTTAGAAAGTTTTTTGTTGTTGTTGTTGTTGGTTTGTGTGTGTGTGTGTGTGTTTTTGTTGTTTAGTTTTTTGAGACAGAGGGTTTCTCTGTGTAGCCCTGGATGTTCTGAAACCAGGCTGGCTTCAAACTCACAGAGATCTACCTCCTCTGCCTCTCCAGTGCTGGGATTAAAGGCATGCACCACCACTGCCCAGCACAAAGGCATTTTGCATTAGGTACTATAAAGCAGTTTTCATACTGACAGAAATGAGGACTCAGGGCCTTCAAAAGAGCAATGAAGGCATTCTACCTGTCTCTGAGGATGGGAGCCAGGGAAATGGTACTGCTATGAGCAGGATCTCCAGAGGGAGAGGAGCACAAAGCAGCTTCACTTAGCCACTTTGCCCTCTCACCCCACAGCCTTCCCCCATGCTGCTGGATCTGCAGGGAGACAGCTCCTTACAGGTGGAGATTTCTGATGCAGTGAGTGAGTGGGACAAGGTGAAGTTCACTGTTCAAACCAAGGTAAAGTGGACTGTTGGCCAGCAGGTGGATTGCCTTTTGGATTGCCTTTGGTTGAGACCCCACCTTCCTGAAGAAATCACAGGTTTCAAATGGGGTACAGGATGGGAATGCCAAGAGTGGGTGCTTAGCAGTTTGGTGAGGGCAGGTTTGGGGGAGATGAGATTTTTTTTTTAAGATTTTATTTATTTATTATGTATACAACATTCTGCTTCCATATATATCTGCACACCAGAAGAGGGCACTAGATCTCGTAATGGATGGTTGTGAGCCACCATGTGGTTGCTGGGAATTGAACTCAGGACCTCTAGAAGAGCAGTCAGTGCTCTTAACCTCTGAGCCATCTCTCCAGCCCGGGAGATGAGATCTTATGCAGGTCTCTGGGCTTCCAGAGTGGTCTCCCTCACTTTGCTCATCTGGAAATTCTCAGTGGTTCGGCAGCACAAAGAATTCATCTGGCTACATGACACCTATGTGGGAAACGAGGAGTATGCTGGCCTCATCTTGAGGAGGGGCTAGGCTGGGCTGAGGGCACAGGGATTGGCCTCCTTGGCAATCCATCCCTCCTTTGAGCAGATTCCCCCACCCCTCCCAGGCCAGACTTTGAGGCTTCAAGGGCAAAGCTGCAGAAGTTGGGTGAGGACAACAGCTCCACCACCCAGGAAGAGTTTGCCAAGATGAAGCAGGAGCTAGAAGCATGAGTGTCCAAACCCCATCCCTGCCCTCCCCTGAGCTCCAGGGTTCCCTGACTATGACAGATGTCCAGAGAGTCTGACCCCAGGTCTGCTGAGTAAGAGGGGGAACCTAGTGTGGTTGTTCACGCTCCTACAGGAAGTACTTGGCCATCTTTAAGAAGACTGTTGCAATGCATGAAGTCTTCCTACAGCACCTGGCAGCCCATCCTGTCTTGCATCAGGATCACTTCTTTGTCTTCTTAGAATTCAGCCAGAGCCAGGCAGTGGTGGCGCACACCTTTAATCCCAGCACTTGGGGGGCAGAGGCAGGTGGATCTCCGTGAGTTCGAGATCAGCCTGGTCTACAAGAGCGAGTTCCAGGACAGCCTCCAAAACCACAGAGAAACCCTGTCTCGAAAAACAAAACAAAACAAAAAACAAAAAAACAAAGAATACAGCCAGGATGTGAGCTGTTTGAGAATGCTGGGATCTGAGATCATCAGGGTGGGGGAATCAGGCCTGAGAATTCCTCTCAGTTTGCTCCCCATGTGGGAGAAGGTACAAATGCCCTATGCTAGCATCCCACCTCTCCCATGTGCTTAGCTGAGTGTTTGAGAGAAGAACAGAAAGGAGGTCTTGGGAGGTTTCCTGAGAAGCATTGTCAAATCTGCAAATGAAGTCCTCATCACCGGCATAACAGGGCTCAAGGTGACCTTCTGCCTGGGGCAGGGGAAGCCACTGGTTGGGCCTACCCTGGGCTGCCAGGAAATGGTGACACAATGGGTGTGCCTGTGCCACCATGTTCCTGGTGACTGGATAAGTAGTGTTCTTTTTCCATCCCTTAAGAGGACCACCACACCCGAATCTGAGGCACCTGCCAGAGGGCCAACCGAGTTATGCACTCCCGCAAGTGTATGAGGGGTTGAGGGGCTCACTCCATGGATGGAGCTTGACATGTAGATTTAGGGGCCCTGATTGGAATTGTTCTCCAACAGGCCTGGCAGATGAACTCTGTACTGCTGCTCTGAGCAGTCTTGGAACCAGGGAAGTCAGCCAGCTGAAGAGGTAAGGTCTCACATCCCTATCCTCTCCCTGTGCCTGCAATACTGCCCATGCCCATGATGGGCGTGCACTCTATAGCTTGTGCAGAAGCTTCTAATGGGGTTAAGGAAGAAAAGATTCCAAGGAGCGTTTGAGGGCAGAGAGGCGTTGAGCTGCCCCAGATCCCTGCTTTCCACTTCCAGGAGCTTTCTGAACCTGGCAGAGCTCTTTAAATGACTGAGAGTAAGTACTGCCTTCTGCTCTCAGGGTATTCTGTAGAGAGCCTTCTGTGATGGGTAGAACTGCCTTCTGCTCTCAGGGTATTCTGTAGAGAGCCTTCTGTGATGGGTAGCCTTGCTGGCTCCCACTCTAGGCTACTTTACAAAGAAATGGAATGGAGCCAGGTGGTGTGGGCCTTTAATCCTAGCACTTGGGAGGCAAAGGCAGGGACATCTCTGTGAGTTCCAGGCCAGCTTGGTCAACAGAGCTAACAGTTCTAGGACAGCCAAGGCTACAACAAAAAAACTGTCTCAAAATAGAAAGAGGAATGGAGCCATTTTAAACGAGTGTATGATGTAGGTGGGTGTTGGGAGTGGATAGCAAGGCACAGGGATGTACACACAGCTCTGGGTGACTTCCTTGAGCATAACAAACATCCTGTAAGATACATGATTCACACTCTTCCCAAGTAGTCGTGGAGTATGCCAATCTCTGAAATGTGTGCTCAAGGACCTGCAGGGGATTAGTCTACTTCAGAACCTACCTAAGATAAAGATAAAGCCTTAGCTTGCCCTTTGGGTTATTTTGTGATCTGGTCATGGCCACCCTACTACTTGCTTATGAGTATGTGATCACGAGGCTTGCACACATGCACACTTTCCTGACCTGCCATCTGAAACTCATCTCCAGTAGTTACCAAGCAGGTCTCTCCTGGGTATATAGTGGAAGGATATTTCTCAAGCCCCCTTCCCAGTCTCACCTTCCTGACACAGAAGCTGGAAGGCAGGGTAATCTCTGATGAGCACCTGAAGCTATCTGCATGCTGAGATACTACAATGCAAGACTCCCAGGCAGCCAGGGTGAGAGGTGCCCCTAGGTACTTCCAGGGAGGGAGGCCATGTAGAGACAGGCAGGCAGCAAAATCCCAGGCAACGGTCTTGTGCTGATGACCTTAGGACCTGCTGTGCAGGTGCTTCAGACACTGGCTGACAGTGAGAATGCTAACAAGGCATTGGACAAAGCTTGCAAAAGGAGCCGGTAAGTGCAGCCAGCAGAAAGCCACCAGAAGCTGTGCTGCCAGCGCTTTGAACACCTCTCTGATTTTGCCAAGCAGGGTGAGCCCTGAAGTCAGCGTGGTCCCAGAGAGCATCCATCCTGACTGTCCTTATTCCTTTTCACCCTTCTCCCTAGAGCTCATGGACCAGGTCCAACAGGGTCTCCTCTTTCTCATTTGAGTGGGCAGAGCTGGAGCTCAAACAAGCCAAGGTGAGCACTCACTGCCCCTTTCTCCATGTGCTCTCATGCTGCTCCCACCTTCTTCCCCATTAAGGGGGGGGGGGGCGTGGTGATGGCGAGGCAGCAGTGTACAGCCAGGCTTAAGGTGGAGGGAATGCTATCTCCTGGGGGGCGGTATGTTTTCCTTTTCTTCATTGGGTGGTAAGAAGGAGCTGGAGGCTGAACAATGTAATAGAACCAGCCCTCAGAGAACTCTAAGGGCTTTTCTTCTGCAGGCCAGCACCCTTGCTGCCCTTAATGGAGAACCTCAGTGAAACCAGATGCTACTCTGGGAACTTAATGACAATATCCTTATCTTTTACCCTCTTCCCAGAGATGCCCCCTCCTTCTCTACCAAAGGAGCCACTAGCCACAACCCCACTCAGGAACCCATTTTTCCTTGAACAAACCCAGGCCCAAAGGCAGTTGATCATGCCTGATGGAGCAGCATGGGGTCAAAGGTAAGCAGTTTCCAGGAATCCTAATCCTTCCCACAGCAGGCTAAGTCAAGTCTCCACACCACCATCCCACCTCTGGCTTTTGAATTCCCACCTATTCTTCACAAATAAACAGCCTGGTTTTATAGCCAGGGGATCTGCTTGCCTTTACTTTAACAAGACATTGATGGAGACAACACTGGGAGCTCAAGAGGCAGTCCTGAAACCCCACCACTCTTTATCAAATAGGTTTATACTTTTGGGGTCTGTATTACTCTCAGCTTCTAGAAAGAACACATTCCCAATCTGCTGGTTGCTATAGCTCAGGGGTAGAATGCTCACCTACTATGTATGAGACCCTGGGCTCAATGCCTAGCACTGCAGAAAAATAAAGCTAATATCCAGTATTCTTCCTGTAATCGTACACAAAACAGAATGGGCCAAACTTAATGGGTCTTTGTGAGAAATCAAAGCAACATGTAGCATAAAACCTCAAAGGAAAAAATAAAATAAAAAATCCCTATTTGGGTGAGGCTAAGGAAACCACCTTAGTGGCAAAGGAAACCTGACTGGGGGTCCTACACCCCAGTTCACCTGCCCTGGGGCACAACTTCTACAGTACTCTGGGAACAGGCTGGACTCCACAGAAATGCTAGCAAAATGTTCAAAGCTTTATTCTGGTAATAGGTGGGGCCCCAGACATCTGGGTCTGAAGTCCTGGGCTCCACCTGGCTGACCCACCCTGAATGAACTCCAGCCACAAGTACAGGAGGCCAAAGGCTCAACTTGGGGTGAGCCAGCACCTCAGGGAGAGGAAAAGCAGAGATCTAACAGAACCTTATAAAGCAGAGAAAATAGGTCACCTGAGTGAACTATATTTAACCCACAGGTGGAAAGGGGCTTAGTCCAATAGCAATGAGTTTTAGGTGCGACACTCTAGGCCCAACCTCCTTGGCACACCAACTGTGATACCCCACCTAAAAAAGGAAGCTCAGTCACTGGGGTCTGGGCTAGGGGTGCAGTAAAGGAAAACTACTGATCCTTACCAATATTTCCACCATAGCATCCCCCCAAATCCTAAACCCAAAAAGCCACCTTGTTAATTAGCCTTTTTATTGGTTTTGTTTTGTTTTTTTAAATTGAAGGTCCCTTACTGGTCCTGCTTCCATGAGTGGCCAAAAACAAGGGAAAGGGGAGGGCAACCAGCTGGCGCAGGGAGGGTCATTTCCACATTTCATTTACACACAGAACTAAACAGACAAGCACAGTCACTATTGTGGTTAGAAGTTGGCAGCATGGGATGGGGCGGGGATGAGGAGTAGGGGTGTTAAAAAAAAAAAGAAAAAAAAAAGCAGGCTCCCCCCAAACTGGGTGCCTGGGAAGGGACTTGGTCCGCTTCAACCCAAGAGGAATCAGAGGATCAGAAGCAGTTTGGGATGGCCAGAACCGTCAGGGTGGAGGGAAGAGGACGGTCCAGGGGGTGGGGAGGACATTTGGCAACTGGGGTGAAGGGATTACCCTCCCCCTGCTGGGATCCCCCCAGCCCCTCCGGTCTGGCAGGAAAAGGGGCAGCCTGCAACACCCATGAGCAGGTCTGGGGCTGCTAGATGCTCCAGGCAGGGGGCTGGAGGCGGCTCACAAAGGCTTGCCCTCCAGAGAGATGACGGCGCTGCCACCTAGTTTTTCTGCCAGGGTGCAGCGGTCCTTGACCTCCTCGTAGCAGTTTGCTTGTAATTCGTGCTTGATTCCTACAGAGAAAGAGAATGGTGAGCAGGGAGCACTGGGATGGGGAGCTTTGTGTCTGGGAAGCAGCCATCTGATCAGGAGAATGGAGGACCCATTATTGTCATCAACCCACATGGCAGTCTCGACTCACACAGAAGGGCACATGAAAAGGAGACCCATCCTTACCTGTCAGCTTCTTCTTGATGGCATCCTTGGAGCTGGCATAGATCATTTTGCTCTTAAGGGGTGCACTCTCAGGGGCCCTGAAGACAAAGCAAGGAAACTGCGGCAGCTATCCCCAAATAGGTGTCTCCAGAAAAGAAACTTGTTTAGGATGCTCAACATGGGCTCCCTGACATGTTCCTCATTAGTTTTGTTACAACCCTGACCCCCAAACCTAGGATGATTTCGGTTAAGCTCTCCTGAGAAAGAGAACATGTGGCAGAGAGCTTCAATGAGGAGCTCACCAGAAGATGAACACCAGGTCCTCCTTCTTGCTCTCCTTGGTCTCATAGGTTGCGTCGTAGAGAGCATAGCGGCAGTCCTTGTCGGGCAGCATCTTGACAAAAGTGGTGTAGGGGTCGTCCACAGTCTGCCCCACATCTCCCACCAGGATCTCCTTGCCCTCCTCCAGGATGATGTTCTTCTTGTCCTCACTCAGGCAGAAGAGCACTGCCTTCTTGCGCTTCTTCACTTCTTCTGGCGTTGAAGACTTGCGCACCTTCATATCATTGAACACTTTGATGACACCATCAGAGACAGCCACACCAGAGGCCTGAGGGGCAAACCAAATAACAGGAAACCTCAGTCAGGATACCAAAAGGTATAGCTCTGAGCCCCGCAAAAATAATAATGTCCCTGCAGACATACGATCCCCAATACAATCCATCATCTAAGGATTAGGTGGGTCAAACCCCTACAAGGGAGAGTACCAATTATCTAGCTCAACACCCCCATGAAAGGTTAGAAACAGCGCTTGTTAAAAGGAAAACATAGCCAGGAGTGGTAGAACATGCCTTTCTCGGAGTTCCTGGGCAGTCAGGGTGACAGAGAAAGTCTGTCTCTTAAAAAAAAGAAAAACAAACAAACAAACAAACAAAACAAAAAGCCTTTGCTGACTTAACGCCAAATTCAAAGAATCTGAAAGTTACTGATTGGGTTGACACCACTCAGCCGCTAAACTAAAATGCTGACTTTGAAGGAAAACTGAGCACCTGGGCCAGACTCATCTTCGGGCAAGAGGGGACCAGAACTTCGCAAAGACCCAACAGATGCTCAACAGTTCATTAAGTTTGCCAGAGCCTTCATTGCATAAACGACACTCTCACCTGCTGAGATCTCCCAAACAAAAAAATTACAACCCCTAATTAGGGCCCTGCCGGACAACTCCCTAAGAGTGGTGTCCTAAAGATCACTGACAAATACGTCAAACTGTAGTGCCTCAAATCGTCAAAAATTTTTTACTTTGCATGGCCCTGGGGGCCGACCCAAACAGAAATCTGTAACCAACCCCCCAACCATGGAACTGCAGAGGAAGCTAGCCACGTGATTAGCCCTCTTCCGGAGTAGGCGGGGAAAGGAGGTTGGGTTAGGCTCAGGGCCTTCCCAAGAGACAGTCGTATCCCAGAGGCGGCGGGATGTACGAGGTCTGAAAGCCTAAGAATCGCCTTTAGGAATAGCCGTGAGCCCCGTCAGCTTTGAGAGGTAGCACGGGCCAGTCACACAAGCATCAGTTTTCCAGGCCCTCGGGCTTAACATAAGAGTTGGGTGGCTTCCGGGCGGTACCCGCCTGGGTCACTTCCCTAAACGCGGCTCCACCCTCGGCCCCATCCGGCAGAGCCAAAGGCCTAGCTCGTCCAGAGCTGCGGCCGGGATGGCAGGGCCCAAGCATGTGCGGGCCCTTCCCAGCCATATCCTGAAGTACAGTGAACAGAAAAGGCAGTGTGTTATCGCTCTTTCTAGAATGGGGGCTAAAGCCCGTATAGGACCCACAACACCACGACCAGTGCAAGGTCCTAGTCTCCGGAGCCAGTGCCTCAACCAGGTCTCCGATGCGCTCGTACCCCCCCCCCGCCAGACAAAGTGCCCCCGCCCCTCCCTGGTGGCATCCCTGCCACCTGCTGTGGAGACAAACCCATCCGCAGAGGGAGGATGATGCGAGGAAAGGAACAGCCCTTGGGTGGGGCGCGCGCCGGCACCTCGCGCGCGCTTTTCCCTAGCGGCCCCGGGGCAGGGTTTGGATGCCGCGTGCTCTGGTCCAGCGCGCGCCATCGAGAACCGGCGAGCGTTGCCCTAGGCTCGGCACACTGGACCCCTCCCCCACGGCCAGTGACCGCGCGGGCGCAAAAGCGGAATGGGGGAGGGGAAAGGAGCCAGGGGGCGCGCTAGCGACGTCCAAATCGGCCCTTCCCAGCGCCCACGGGCGCGCACGCGCGGCCTGCCCTTCAATGCAAGACCCTTAATCTCGCTCGGGGCGCTGGGGGAGGGGATACTGAGAACGCTTCTCTGCCGCCCCCACCCCACCCGGCGCGCTAGCGACTGGTCACGAAACCGCCTCCCTCGGGCACAGTGGCCTAGTGCTCACCATGTTTCCGGAAGCGAAAGGGAGACAGGGAGAGCGACAGAAGAGCTGAGCCGCCGCAGCTGCTGCCGGGATCCGACTGAACGCGGCCTCTCCCGGCCCCTTCCGTTTAGTAGGAGCCGCACAATGAGGGGCGGGGCGGGCTTCCGGCGCTCGCCGCGCGGGCCGACGGGAAATGAAGTCCAAAGATTTTGCACCGATGTGGAGCTAAGCTGCTCCTGGGTTCTGCAGAGCCTGAGGCGCGGGGGAGTAGGTGGAGGCAGAGAGGCGGGGCTATTGCACGGAGAGTGAGCCCATTGGTGCAAGGGATCAGGAAACGCTCTTAGATGAGCAAGAGGCCCATGGCTTGATAAGATGACCTGAAAATAATTCTGTCCTGAGTCTCTCTTAATCCCAAAGTGAAGTGGATTCCCGTTATGTATGGCTCCTATTGATCAATGTTTTAATTTTCTGAATCACTGGCTTGGGATCCGCTTCCAAAGAAAGGAGGATCGCAATTATAACGGTGTCTCCAAGCCAGTAGACAAGCTTCCGTGAAGTGTCCCTCCATGTGGAAAGTCACTGTTGTCTCCCAAGAGGTCGTATGAAATTGCAACAAAAAAATAGGATTTTAACAAACGGAAAACGTTACAATAGAAAGTTTGAGAGCTTCGGTTTGTTTAAAGACATTTGGCAACTTCTTGGGTCAAATATAATTCATGTGGGAAGGGTGAAGAGTTATGTATTAGAGACATATATTTCCTTTACCAGGCGATAAGAAAAGGAATATTTACTTGAATTTAGCTCTCGAGTTGATAGGTTTATGGTTATTTTAACAACAACAACAACAAAAAGAACCAGACAATCTCTCTGAGAGCAAGAGCTTAAAATAAACTGGGGTGGGGACTCGAACATTTCTTTGACCTCGAACAATGATCATAGCTTCACAATCGGCAGGAAAAGAGGGCAAAGTCGCAAGCAAGTTACAGGCGAAGGAAACTGGGGCCCTTGACCCGCCCCATAAGCCGAATAAAGGGTGTGTATGAGGAACAACCCCGTCGAGAGTGAGGCAACTCGCAGAGCATGCCGGGGGTTGTAGTCAGAGTCAAGCCGGCTGCACTCATGGTTTGAGCGGCGGAGCTCCCGGTGCAGGCGAAGCCTGACACCCCCCCACCCCCACCCCCACCCC